TTTTTATTTTTTATTTTTATTTTTTTTGTGTACACATTTAGTTTTATTGTAACAAAGCAACTTGCACAATTTTAATGTTTAAAACTGAGTATCATCTTTCCTTTCCAGTGAAACAAAAAGAAAATTTAAAAATAAACAGGAACAAAATTACAATAGAGAATGTCAATTCCAAATAAGATCCTACAAGTTCTGCTGATTCTCCCATCGAGTGGCAGGGCTCAAGTCATCATTAGGAGAGAGTTTTATTTTAAAAGTGTCATCTTAAACTGCAAGGATGTCCATTAAACATCACAATTAAACATGCCCAAGGAGGAGCCATGTTGTCAAAATGCCCACCTAACCCACCCAAACCTCTCAAACCCACCCTTTGCTGACCTTCTATGACCCAATTTTTTAAATTTTTTTTCTTTTTTTTTAAAAAGAGAAAGTAGACAGGTACATGTTGGTAAATGCTAACTGTCCATATTCACATAGAGACACAGTGTAATCTCTGAGCCCAATATACAGAGAAAGGAGGAAAAAAGCTAGAATTCTATGCACTACTACACAGGGGCCTAGCACCCTCCAGCTTCCAGCAGAGCTAAGGGAGCAGAAGGTTTTTCTTTTTTCCCACAGAGCACGGTGGTGTTGATTCCATAAAGTTTTTGTTTTTGTTGAGACAGGAAGGGACAAAAATGAATTTGGAACAAAAAGGGGTAGAGATTCTTTTCCCACTGTATTCTGCTCAAGGTGTTTTCCCCCCAAATAAGCTGAGAACCATGGTATAAAGGGAGAAAAAAAGGAGACTTCAAAAAACAGGGCGAATGAGCACGAGAGGAGAAAAGAAAAAGAAAAGGAGAAAAGAAAAAGAAAAAGGAAAAAAAAAAGATGGCAACTTGCTCCCAGGGACTGAAGAAAATTAAAAAAGGAAGGTTGGAATCCATCAGTGTTCCATTAGTCATCTTCTCCTTCATCCTCCTCTCCTTCCTCCCCCTCATCATCATCTTCATCTTCTTCACCTTCATCCTCATCTCCTTCTTCATCAATATCTTCTAATCCTTCTTCTTCTTCATCATCATCATCATCATCCTCTTCTCCTTCCCCTTCTTCATCATCCATATCGGGAACCAAGTAGTACTGTAATGGATTTGGCCAAATATCATCTTTGATGACCTCTCCTAACTCATCTGCGCCTGCATCAGAATGGTCAGTAAACCAGGTGAAGAAGCTCTCTGGTTCCTCATGCTGTCTCTTCCTGCTGGCTTTATTCTGTGTTTGACTTGAACGTTTCGTCAAATCCTTTCCAGATTTCCATTTGATTTCAGTGGACCTTGAAGATGGATCACCACTCTCATTCAGATGAAATTCTTTGGAGAGAACTTTATTTTCGAAGTAAGGGTTTTCATCAAAATAAAAATCTATTCTGTAACCTGATTTAATATCTTCAAATTCTGTCACTTCAACTCTTGTCAAATAATGCAGTGCCTCTTCATCCTCCTCCCCAAGCAGTGCAGACACTTGTGGATGGTTGACAAATGTTGTTACCCCAAAATTGGGGATTTTGGCGATCAATTCCGACCTCTTCTGAAAAAATGGTTGGCGGAGTTTGTTATATTTCTGTTCTACTTTCAAAATCTCCTCACTGGCTTGTTCATTAAGTCTGTCTATTTCATTTTGTACTTCATCAATATGTTCAATTGCTTCTTGCTGTTCTTTTTCTCCCTTATGCAAGTGCTGAGATGTTGATATCTGCCCTGGCTTGAGAGCAGGAGGCAGTCTCAGTTTCTTCGTTTGAGGTGGGAGTGAAGACTGGAGTTTGGGGGCCATGCTGCGAGGAAACTCCAGGAAACCGGGAGAGAGGCATGTCTGGAAGCTCTGATTGCTCTATTTTTATTTCTATTTTTAAATTTAAGACTATTTCATTTAATGTAATGTCTTCTAGGACCATTTCTCATGGCAGAGTTATATTCCCTTACATGTGTGTGGTGTACCTGCTCTCTTCCTGTATTTCTATGTTTCTATTTGGACCCTTTCCTTTATGCCTGAAAAACTCCTGCTTTTGAGCAGATATGACAGCAAGGAACTGTTTTTATTTGTCTGAAGATTACTTTGTATTTTTTTTTGGAAGGATATTGTTCCTTGGTATAGACTTGGAGTTGGGAGTTATTTCCTCCTAGCAATTTAGAGATGCCCCTCTGTTGCCTCCTGGCTTCCATTGCTTCTGCTGAGACACAGAGAAGACAGCCCTGCTCTCGCCACTTTGGCTGTGTGTCTCTTTCCCCCTCAAGATGCTTTTATTTGTCTCTGTTTTCTGGGGTTTTCACTGTTGTGTGCTTGGGCGAGTTCCCTTTGCACTGACCCTGCTGGGGCTCACAGAAGCTCTTGGATCTGTAAATTGATGTCTTTAATCAGCTTTGGAAACATCTTGTCCTTCTGTATAATTCTCTTTTCTGCTCAAATTCCACATGCCAGACCAAAGTGTTCAGTATACTTATGCCCTTTGTTTTTTTGTTTTTAATTTTTTCTCTACTTCTGTGTGGCTATTGTCTCTAGACCTGTCTCTGGTTTATTAACCCAGTTTTCTGCTGCTTTTTTTCTGCTGTGAATCCACTGACTGAAATCTTCTCTGAGCAACTGCTGTGCTTGGTGCTACATTTTCAGTTAAATTTATTTTTATTGATTACAGTCCTGTGGTGAAATTTTTAAATCATTTACTTATTTTCTTAATCTCTTCCTCCATTTGTGCATTAATCCACTATTTTACAGACTTTGTGTTGGTAACTTGAATCTGTATCATTTGTGATTCTTTTCCTTTGACTTTTTTTCCTTTGGCTTTTTTGTCTATGGTCCTGTCTTTTGGCTTGACTAGTACTTTTTGACTGAATGCTAGAAAAGGTGTATAAGCATTGTAGAGGCCCCAGCTGTCCTCCTCTAGAGAAGGCCTGCCTTTCCCCCTGCCAGCTAGATCGCTCCAAACTATATTTTAGAATATGTGATAATCATGCAGTTTGAACTTGGTCAAGTACCTCTTATCACTCTTCTTTTTAGAGTAGCTGGAAGAATTCACAGTGTCGCAGATGCAATTTTGGTTAAATTCCCTTCGTTAGTGTTTATTGCCATTTTAGCTTCTGGGAGGCTCGGCTCTTGCCTCGCACAACACCTATCCAGAGAGAAGTCCTTTATATCGTGAGAGTTTTGAGCTATCTGAAAAGCATTAGACCACCTACTTCATCTTTTTTAAAAAAAAATTTATTTATTTATTTGATAGAGATCACAAGTAGGCAGAAGGGCAGGCAGACAGAGAGGAAGGGAAGCAGTCTCCCCGCTGTGCGGAGAGCCCAACGCAGGGCTCCATCCCAGGACCCTGAGATCATAACCTGAGTCGAAGGCAGAGGCCCGACCCACTGAGCCACCCAGGCACCCCAACACCTACTTCATCTCAAATGGAGTGCCTCTTGTGGTCCTTGAGGAGGAGAAAGAATTTGGAAACTGTCACAGCTGGGGTTGGGGCGCCCTCTGCGTGTGTAGATGCCACGTATCTTCAAGCATTCTGTCAACCCTGGGTGTTGGATAGCCACCTGCTGGCTATGACTTAGAACTTTCCATTTCTTAGTGGCTTATAGTTTATGTGTGTCTGTATTAGGAAGGCGATTCTTTGTTTGAAGAAGAAACCTTTGGACGTGAGGGCAATCTTTGGACGTGAGGGCAATCTGACTGCAAGTTCTGTCCCCATGTTGATCACTAGGGTTGACTGGGCTGATGTGGCTGGCTAGACAGTGTCTCCCTTGTCCCTCACTGCTCCACGTGGCGAGGACACCTGCCGTGACAGAGGAGGACTCTTTCTCTGTCAAATGTTTACAGGTGGCTGCGCTCCCCTCCTAGGACCTCCAGACAAGCCCTCAAGGACCACTTGTAGGAGAAGGTAGGGTAGTCAAGCTGCCATGACTCCAGACACAGTCAGATGACGCTCGTGTCTTTCTTAAAAACACAGGCACCCCTCACCCCAGCCTTCTGACTTCAGGAAAAGTACGATGTACAAATATGAGTGTCTCTTTGAAGAATGTTGAAACACTGGCCTCTCTCTCTTCCTGGCAAGATTCCATATTAAAGGGAAAAAAATTAATTTCAAAGCAAATATATTTCTCAGTTCTTCTGTAGAAGAAGCAATTGTTTTTTTTTTTCTTTTAGAAAGAGAAGACTCCCTCCCCCCCGATATCAAAATAATACCAAAAAGAAGTCATCTTTTACTCTCTTCTTCACGGACATTAAGGAGCCTCTGTAAGTTGTTTCAGATTCGTGATGCTTACAGATGCGTATCAGTTAATATAAAAACACCCAACAGTAAGCTCATTCAGCAGTTTTTAAAGGAGCTTTGTTTGTATGCAAATCTTAGAACAGTCCAGTTGGTCTTGAAGGTTCAAGATGAACAACTTAAGATTCATTCTCCTCCTTCGGGAGAAGCAGAAGTGACTCTGTTGGTGTTGAAAGCGTAAACACAGCACATACACTTTTGCGCTGAGTTGAGAACTCGGCCAGAGACGGCCCTCCCACCTCTCCCACCCCGTGCCTCTCCCAGTCCTGGTGCATCCTTGGGGCTCGCTCTCTCAGGCTGGGAGTGCAGCTCCCTGGGCAGTGCTCAGCAGACCCTCAGAGCTTACCCAGAGTGGGGAGGCTTCACCTGTCCTTGGCACCGTGGATCGCTCAGAGACAACACCTGCGGCGGGGTTAGCATGCTTGGGGGCCCTGGCTACACGGGCTAGCTAGCTTCCATCTGCTTTCTGTTGGCAATTCCCATGAGGAGACAGCAGGTTATTGGAAGTTCACAGCCCTCCCTGCGTGTGCGGTAGGGTACTCCGCAGTAAAACCGGACCCTTCTGGAGCACTGGTGTTTCCCTGAGAGTGAGCACTTGTTAAGGCTTGTGGAGAGAGCATTCCGATATTCCTTCTTCCACCCAGGATCTGACTTCTTGACCTAAGCTGGTGGAGCCCATGTTGAAGACCCAGGCAAAAATCCATTGCACATGGTGGTCCAGGCCCACTGCTGGCACTCCCTGGGCACCCAGCTTGGGCTCCTCTGGCAAGACCTCCTGGTAACTGAGGCAGAGACGCAGCTATCTGGGCACCAAGCTCAGAAGGAAGGTCAGAAGCACAGGCTACGAGCCAAGAAATGTGGTGCTGCCCCAGGGTCAGGACAGGAGAGAGAGAGGACATCAGCATCATTATCCAGAGACACTTTCGCAGAGTGCACAATGCTGGTCCCTGTCCAGGCACTTCCATCCTTAACCATTGAGCTGAACAGAGGCATCTGTGACCTGCGGGGAACAATAAAGGCAAGAAAAGGGACCAAGTCCCCTCTATCCAATATATCCCGCTCCCCCCAGCCTTGGGGCACAGACGCACGCGGGGCTGATGCTCAATTTCTGCCATTGCTTGGACTTGAGTCTCTGCTCAGTTAAGAAGCTGCCCTGTGAGTCGGGTCATGGCGCCTCATGTCTGTGCTGGGAGCCCCCTAAGCAGGACACCTGACTGCCCCTGAATCACTTGTCCTGTATCCACCCTCCCCACCGGCCACCTTCCAGTAAACGGTTCGTCATGTTCGTCTTTGTACCTACTGTCCCCTCTGCCTCGGGCACAGGACCAGCCTGTGGCTCTCCTTGTGTCGCCTTCCCTGGGCTTCCCAGGCAGGAACGGTGCCCCAGGCCTCCTCATCGCTGGACGCCTTGGGCCGGCCTCGGTGAGTGCCTGAGGTCGCTCTGCAGCGGTCCCGTCTTACCTTTTCCTTTGGTCCCCCCATTCCTCCATCCCCCAAACAGGCTTAGCAAAGGGCCAGGCCTACAGCAGGTGCTCAGTGGGAGCAGGAAGGCAAGGACGTCTTCCTCCACGACCTGGGCGATCTCCAGGGGCCCCCTTCCCCCGTCTGCAGGCCTCCGGGCATCTGCGGGGAGGGGGGAGCAGCGCGTACACAGGGAAACACCCCCAGGTCCAGGCTCCCCGGGAAGCGAGGGGTCAGCAGGTGAGAGAAGGGGGTGGGGTAAAGGCCTGCTCGCAGCTGGACTATGGCTGCTGCCCCGCAGGGTTTACCCCCAGCCCAGCTGCAGGCCCGCCCGCCCCACTGCACCCCTCCCCTCCCCGCCGAGCCTGCTGCTGTCCCAGGGCCCGAGCAGGACGCGGTGAGGGTGCGGGGCAGCCTGGGGCACCGGGCGCGGCCTCGGCGGGTGGACCGCAGCGTCAGCCCCCGGGGGCGGCCCCGCAGTGCCCCCCGCAGCGCCCTCCGGCCTGGGACGCGGGCTCGGGGCGCCCGACACCGGGTGAGGGGCCTCGGCCTCTCCCGCTGGAACAGCAGCACGTTCCTCGGCTGCGCGACCCCGCCTGCGAGACCCGCCGTCTGCACCCCGCGTGGCGGGGAGGGGCAGAAGGGAGGGGTAGGCGCGGAGAGACCTCTTCGGGTGCCGCGCTCGTAGGGTGCAGGGCCGGGCCGGGGGCTGCGCGGGGCCTCCACCTGCCGGCTGCCGGCGGTACTGCACCGAGAGCCCCCGCCCGCGCCCGCGGAGCCTGGGGGGACCTGCCTGCGGGCCCTCAGGCTCCCCGAGGGGCTGGGGACCGTCCTGTCGCGGCAGCTCGGTCCTGCATGGGCCTGGGTCACCATCGGGTCCACTCCGCCCCCTTTTATTTTGGAAGCAAAGTCAATGTACGAACAGATACAATCACAGCAGATGGGTAGGGAACCGTGCATGGTCCCGAACCAGCTTTCCTCCAAGTAGAAACTAGTAACGTCCAACAGCTGCAAACCGGGTACTTTTCTGCTCATCTTCGAAACGCATCAGTGTTCTATACCTTTTATTTATTTTTAAAAGATATTTATTTGAGAGAGAGAGAGAATGAGAGAGAGGAGCGAGCAGGAGAAGGAGGGGTCAGAGGGGGAAGGGGGCTCCCGGCCCAGCAAGTAGCCCGATGCGGGGCTGGATCCCGGGACTCCAGATTCATGACCCGAGCTGAAGGCAGATGCTCAACCCACTGAGCCCCCCAGGCACCCCTGTTCTATATCTTTTAAATAAAAGATTCAAAATAGCTAATAAGGAATTTAATTTTAAAAATTTTACGAAGGGGCGCCTGGGCAGCTCAGTGGGTTAAAGCCTCTGCCTTCCACTCAGGTCATGATCCCAGTGTCCTGGGATCGAGCCCCACATCAGGCTCTCTGCTCTGTGGGGAGCTGCTTTCTCCTCTCTCTCTGCCTGCTTGTGATCTCTGTCAAATAAATAAATAAAATCTTAAAAAAAATAACTTTGTACAATTCAACTTTATTCATCGGGTCCACTTCCTTGGCGGCAGGCACACCAGTGGCTCTGAGTGCTGGCCGTCTCTCTCGGGACAAAGAACCCTTGGTGCTAAGCCCAGCCCATCTTGTGTTTTTCATTTGCAGACTTCAGCCCTCCCGTCTAGACCCTCATGACAGGATCCTTTTCCTTCAACAAGTTTAATTTAGCATCTCTCTGAGATAAGCACTCTCAAGTACATGATTTCACGGAAACATTCAAGACACGGGTGAGGAAGGTACAATGTTCTCTGTTTGAGAGTAGGGGACAGTTCAGGAAGGCTGACGGTGGGCTCAAGGCACGTTTACTCTACGAAACCTATAGGTCTGCCATCCACCATCCACAAGGTCAAGGTCAAAAATCCAACCAGGGGTGCTTGAGTGGCTCAGTTGGTTAAGCGACTGCCTTCTGCTCAGGTCATGATCCAGGAGTCCTTGGGTCAAGTCCCACGTCAGGCTCCCAGCTCCGTGGGGAGTCTGCTTCTCCCTCTGACCTCCCCTCTCATGTTCTCTCACTCTGTCTCTCTCTCTCTCAAATAAATAAATAAATAAATAAAATCTTTTAAAAAAAATCCAACCAACAAACCGTTCCGTGAAATACTTTCTTCTGTCTTGACAAATAGTTCGTCATATTATCAGAATAAAAAATGAGGAAAAAATGAAATGAGAAAGTCAACAACGTAAGAGAGATGCTTGAATTTAACTATTATTATGACGACAGGATATGCTGATACCAGGGCTGGCAATGTTTGCATAAGTAACAAAATTAAGACATACGTAATAACTAAACTAGTAGAAATTTGTTTCATGTAATTCATTTCCGTTTTCAGAAGAGTTGCTAAGTGCAGAATGCATTCACATAACAGGTGACAGCCATGCCAAGTTAGACCACCTTTGTTGACCTGAGTCATTGTGGTTCTTGGATAATTTTTGTTGATTTCAATTTGGAGGAACTTTGCTTTGTTGATGCAGCCGTAACTGGGATGACCAACTCTTCAGGGAATACTTAGATTCCTAAATAAGCTGTGAATTTGATATATTTACTTAATTTCACAGACACCACTAAATCCAGCATTCCTGGATATAAGGCCCAGGGGTGGATAATTGGTGGGTTGTTTTTTGTTTTTTTGTTTTTTTATATAATTTTTTTTTAGATTTTATTTATTTATTTGACAGAGATCACAAGTAGGCAGAGAGGCAGACAGAGAGAGAGGAAGAAGCAGGCTCCCTGCTGAGCAGAGAGCCCGATGCGGGGCTCGATCCCAGGACCACGTTGCTCACGCACAGATAGGGATACAAGCCTGGATTTGTAGGGTTCAGACTGGCACCCTTCATTCCCATTTCTGGCTCCCGCACGTGCTGTCCACACCAGCACCAGAATGACAGTCCTCAACGGGTGTTGTCATCATCATCCCGGCTTCTCTCAGGAGTGGTTCACGCTGGCTATCCACTCCATCCCGCCAGTGTGGCTGTCACAGCTTGTGATGATCTACTCTTGCCCTCCTCTTGACCTCCTGCCTGAAATGCTGACTCTGCGGATCTTCAGACACCCTTGCCCTCCAGTGCACTCAAAGCCCCATCAAAAGCACCTTCTCAGGGCGCCTGGGTGGCTCAGTGGGTTAAGCCTCTGCCTTCAGCTCAGGTCATGATCCCAGAGTCCTGGGATCGAGTCCCGCATCGGGTTCTCTGCTCGCCCGGGAGCCTGCTTCCTTCTCTCTCTCTGCCTGCCTCTCTGCCTACTTGTGATCTCTGTCTGTCAAATAAATAAATAAAATCTTTTTTTAAAAAAAGGCACCTTCTCCAGAAAGGCTCCTCTGGCTTCACTCAACTCTTTCTGGCTCTTCCTGAACTCCTCACCCCCTTCCTACCGCACACCGTGCGGGATCAACGGACACTGCCCTTGAACAGACATGTTCCTGCAAGAACGTGTTCCTGCTCAGCTGCTAGAATGAATTTCTGTGCATCCAATCTCATTCTTCAAATTCCCTTTCTTACAAAACCAGAGAGGAATTCCTTTAGGCGTAAATGCTTTGGTGGGGCGAGACAGCACTTCTACCACCAGGAAGAATTCATTTTTTGGTTATTCTTTTCTTAACCGATTCCTTTCGTTAGTCGTCATTGGTCTGTTCAGGTCTTCTATTTCTTTCTGATTCAGTTCTAGAGGATTGTGTGTTTGTGGGAATCTATCCGTTTCTTCTAGGTTGTCACCATGCTGTACGTTAGATCACCATGACTTATTTATTTTCTAATTTTCCCCTCCCCGGCCCTCCACTTCCCCTCCTCCTCCTTCTTTTTAAGAGTCCACATGTAAGTGAGCTCATACAGCATTGGTCGCCTTCTGCCTGACTTATTTCACTTAGCATAATGCCCTCAAGGTCCATTCTTGCTCTTGTACATGGCAAGATCTCTTATTGTTTTACAGACGAATAATATTCCTTTGGATACCTACAGCACGTTTTCTTTATGTCCTCCTCCATCCGTGGACACTTGGGCTGTTTCTGTATCTTGGCTATTGTGCATAATGCAGAGGCAGGTACCTTTTTGAGTTAGCGTTTTCGTTTTCTTCTGATAACTACCCAGAATTACTGGATTATATGCTATCGCTATTTTTAATATTTTCTGAAGCAGCCCTATCCCATTTCCACAGTGGCTGCCCTGATTGGCGTTACCACCAACAGAGCACAAAGGTCCCTTTTCTCCACACCCTTGCCCATACTTGTCATTTTTTGTCTCTTTGAAACAGCATGTCTAACAAGTATGAGGTGATAGCTCACTGTGGTTATTTGTCATCTGGTCTGTTTTGAGGCGAGCAGAAATTTTCTCTGCTCTGTTTCTATGTGAGCGTTTAGGGAGATGCACTGTCTATGCCATCTCTACTGTCACCACCTTCCCAGATTCTCCGCGTGCTACCGTAAAAACCGAGGCATGGGAAGATTAATCTGTGCATTGAATTTGGGTGATTGCTTTGGCAAGGAGCCAAGGTTGATTTCTGAGTAATGGGCGTGTCATCAGACCGGCTCGTGTGAAAGATGAACTTGGCGGAGGTTCGGCTATAGAAGATACTGGAGTGGGAAAGACTGATTATGCCAGCATGCCAGCAATGCAAAGAGGGCACGATACCGAGGGCAGGTGAGTGGGAATGGCGTGGCGCAGGTGGGCATGAGAAACACAGCGCAGGCTGAACCAAGTAGCTTGGTGATGGGGGTGCAGGGAAGAAGGAGGGCTGGCGTCAGAGTCAACTGGAAATTCCTGGGATGAATGTCTGGGACAGGGCACTGTTGTCCAACATCAGTGAGGAGGAGGGCGGGGATGGTGGCTGTGAGGGTGGTGGGGGGTGAAGGGAGGAGTGAGACCGAGTTTCCAAAAGCGAGTTTGGTGACTGAGGGGTACCTGGCTGGAGATGTGTGTGGACAGAGGGAACTCAAGGACAGACCCATGCCGGACACACAGAGACTAAAACTGTGGCAGACGTGGGGCTGAGCTGTGCAAGGTGGGGTATGCGGTCTGCGGACCTACGCCTGTACATATGCGCCTGCAGACGGAGAGGTCTCTGGCCACGCCCTGTGTCACTCGTGCACACGTGTCACAGGGTAAACGGCACCTCCGAGGCTGGGCCTCCGGGGGGTTCTCTGGGGGCTCTTGTGCCTGTGGCTCACTGCTCTCCCCACTTACTGCACTTTATAGCATCGAGAAGGTGAAGCTGGAATCCGTTTCTCCACCTGCCTTCAGTCTTTCCCAACCAGGGTGAAACCTGCTATGTGGACAGTCCTCCCTTTTCTGTGCTTTTTGTCCCTGCGCACTTCAATGTTTTGCTTCCTTGACCTCTGCGGTGGGGGTGTCAGAACACAGCATGTGGGCAGGTGGCCAGGTTTTTGCAGTCGCCCCTCCCGGGGCTGCTGAAGCACAGGGGGGCTCCGACCCAGGGCTCCAGGGACGTATCTACAGCAGGAACGACACAGCTCCAAGGGATGACACCAGCCCTGTTAAAACCAGACCCCGTGTCCGATGGGCCAGCGTCACACAGGGGATTCACCAGTTTATGCAACAGAAGTCAGCGGCGCGGCTACTTTAGGATTAGTCTGGTTCAGTGTTTTCAAAGCTGCGATTTCTCCGGGTCTTTCCGTCCTGCCTGCCTCCCGCGGTGTCAGCCTTGTCCTGAGGCTGTTTCCACCACAGGGGCAACACCGCGGCACCTTCTCCAGGCTTTATGTGTGAACCCGATACTGTCTGGGAAGGGGGGGATGTGTTCCCAGCGAGGCTCCTGGGAATCACTTGGATGAGGCCACATAAATTACACCACCATGCTGTC